GGCCTCATAAAGGGCAACTATTTGTTTTTTCAGAAAATATAGGTTAGGTATACCAAATTTTTCTGGTACTATTTTTCCTCATTACAAGATACTTATAATTTTTCTTACACCCCAGAACTATAATTATCAAAATGTAAAATTCTTATTTCACCTAATATCAACGGCTTAGATAGTATTTTGATACTACCTGAACTCCAACTGAAATCGTCTCGAGTCTACCGGACACAGTGGCAGAGTCACTATACTGACCACCCTCGTGATTAAATGTGGCGCCAAATATTTGAACACCCAACCATACTTCTGCTATCAATAATAACTATAACATCATGCCTAAAGTTTTTAAAGTCAAATTCCCTTGAATAAATAATGAGTTTCTGCCAACAATATATTTTTTGATAAAAGTGGTCAATAAAATGATTTGAGAAATTATACTACATCTTGTTTTCTTGAAGTAACCAAGGTCACTATACTAACCACCCTATTCTGATAAAAAGGGAGGGGGTAGATTTTTTTGTATATTTTTTCAAGCATCCTGGGATCCATATAAATTATCTTCAATAAAAAAAAAATGTGTTTCAAAGAAAATTTCTTCTGCCACTTAAAGGGTTAAATAAAAAAATTAATAATAAATATTAAGATTTTTTTATTTATAAACATTATTAAATAAATAATTTGTTTATACTTAAATATTGATGAAGCGCATTTATTTTACAAAAACTAAATTCATAAGTTCAACAGTAAAATTTAAAGGGTTCATAAATTTACCTGCCTAATTAAATATTATATTGTTATTCTAGAAGTTATAAACTACCAGTACATATTTAATAAACGACGACATTGAAAAGCCAAGTCCGTAGTGGTTCCATTTAAAAAAGAAGGGATAGTATAATCTAATATAAGTTTGACAAAGACAGTTAATATGGAAGTAAAAACAAATAAATAAAAGTAATTATAACGCTATAGCAACGATATTGGAACGTTCTAGTAACGTAGCAGCTACGTTCCAAATAGTAGCAGGGTTTATAGCTAGTGACCAATTTGTTACCTTTTTGGAACTCAATAATTGTTCCCCACTTTAGTCGTAACTTAGTAATAAAATAGTAATATAAAGAGACCGGCGACTGTCGCAAAACACTTTTAAGTTTCTTCAATAGTCCCATATAGGTACGTAACAAATACTTAAATTGTTGCTTGGGACCCTCTATGTCCTAAGAAAAATATTTTATCCGAAATCGGCAGTAAAGTAAAATAAATCCACAGTAAAGTAGAACGAGTATTGTATGCAACTCATTATACATTTTAAGATGTGTCTACTAAACTAGGCTCAGTAGTTTTTTGTTTGGTTTTTCTTGGAAAATGTTGAATGCAAAATAATTTAATAAAATCAAGAGACCGCGTAGCGGTCGAGGGGTTTTATTTTTAATTATTTTGCATGAAACTATTTTCCAAAAAGAAAAATCAAATAAAAAACTTACTGAGTATAGTTTGACAGATTAAATTTATAGGTTGAGTGATATACGTCTAGATTATTTCTCGAATTAAAGAAAACTATTTGACAATTCATAAAATCTGACGTATGTGTCAAAATTTATAAATATTTTTTTAAAGAAAATTCCATTAATTTAAGGTATGTTATAAGTAATAATTGATATTCTGTGAACTTATTGATAACTTATTTATTATTGTTTTTTAAAAAATGTTTGTTAAAACTTGTAAATAACACCATAAAATCGTAAACAAAAATCCAATATGGAGGCTAAAATTTAATCGCTGTTAAATAGTTCTAGTGATTTAATCGCTTATTTAAACGAAATTTATTCGAAAATTCAAGCTTTTGATTGGTTCATATTATAATGAGGGAAATAATCATCAATATTAATTATTAGTATTTTTAAATGTGATTTCGGATAAAATTTAATATGCACCTCGGCATTAAAGTAATTTTTTATCACTCACGTGCTTATTTAATAATAATTTCCACATTCGTGATAAAAAATACGAGTTTACTGCCTTGATACATAAATAACTATTATTAAATATACCATTTAAAAGTTTATTGTATATTTCATTAAAAATTTTATTGAAAATTCCACTCCTGTCAATTTAAACTGTCAATAATACGGTTTGCTGCACAGACTATAAAGAGATAGATAGGCAACTCAGTAAGCAATGTGTGATATCGTTTTACAGCTCCACCTAGTGAGAATTCCGCTCTGGTTTTTAGGTTTTGGCGGTTTATTGGAAACGAATAATATATTTTTTCGAAGATTTCAATCTTTTTTAAAACTATTTATCTGTCTAGCTTGTTAAACTTGTTAATTTTCCTGCTCATTTTATAGGTAGGTAAGTCGTATTGTTTAGTAATAGGTATACCTATGTATATTTATTGTCTTTAATATTTAAATATTAAAAACAATAAATATACATAGGTATTGTAGTAACTTAATTTATTTTATATTAATACTTAGGCGTTGCACCAATTTATCTAAGTTTATATAGCAATAAATAACCTGCCCAACTCATCCGAACTTTCACTACCCTGAAGAAACACCCTGGGAATTTATCCGTAAGAAATTAAGTGTTTCCTCACATGATTTTATCGACCAAATTTCGTAAAAAGTCAAAAAATATCCGGCTAAATCGAACCTCTGGTGGTATTACAATCGAAAATTTTATTAAATATTTCATTGAAATTTTCAAAAGACAAGTTTTCGAAATATCTTTTGAATTATTTTCAATTTATTCTTACTCTCCTAATATTAATGTTAAATATTTCATCAAACATTTTATTAAAATTTTTAAAAAGACAATTAAAAGAACTAAAAAGGAATACAATTATTTAAAAAAATATATAAAATATGCTTACAAATTCTAAATGACCAGCCCAAAAAAAGGGTCAGAGAAAGTGTGTGGAGCCTAATACATACATCCTTTTTAGGTAATTATTTGTTGGGGTCCAAGCACAGATTATCAGTTAAACAATTGTTTTATGAAATCACATATATGTTATTAATGAAAGACATTTTTTATAATTACGTATTTCATTAATAATAATACCTCGGAACTTTTCCAGCGATGACGTCAAAATGTTTACAAAAATCAGACTTAAAAAAGTAAACACTTATCTTAATTCATGTGCAAAAAATAACTATAATATCACAATATAATCGTAAGTAATATCATAAGGGCATTTAATTTTTCCGAAAAGAATCGAAAAAACACGTTGCTAAGTAATATTTTAACAAAAAGCATGAGTGCTGGTGGCAACAAAAATCCGAGTTGAAGAGGAATGCATTTTGTTAAAAAATATTACTTAGCATTGTGTTTTTTCGATTTTTTTCACAGGAAAAATTAGATGCCCGAATGGTATTTGACAAGACTATTTCATGAGTAACAGTTAACAATTAAAATATAAATTGCAATTTTTGGTGACAACGGCTGTCAAGTTTTGCCGCGGGTAAACTCGAATAAACTGCTGACAGGTGCTGTCACAGAGTTTTTTCGTAAGTAATATCATAAGGGCATCTAATTTTTCCGAAAAAAATCGAAAAAACACGTTGCTAAGTAATATTTTAACAAAAAGCATGAGTGCTGGTGGCAACAAAAATCCGAGTCGAAGAGGAGGATTTTTGCACCTGCACGAATGCATTTTGTTAAAAATATTACTTAGCATTGTGTTTTTTCGATTTTTTTCACAGGAAAAATTTGATCCCGAATGGTATTTGACAAGACTATTTCATGAGTAACAGTTAACAATTAAAATATAAATTGCAATTTTTGGTGACAGCAGCTGTCAAGTTTTGCCGCGGGTAAACTCGAATAAACTGCTGACAAGTGCTGTCACACAGTTTTTTCACCTAGAAACCATTTGTAATTCAAAATTGCGCGTTTGTGATTGAAGGAAATTAAGACGAGGGAAATAGTCATTTTTATGTAATCGCTGGAAAACTTTCGCGGTGTATTAATAATATATAACATATAATCATAAATTTTATGACATAATATAAAACATTATGTGATTTTATAAAACAACTGAAAATCTGTGCTTAAGACACCAACAAATAATTGGCTAAAAAGGTATGTACTATGCCCCACACATCAAAGTGGTGGGACCACGTATAAAAATAATTAAAATTAATTATGAGTCATTACGAAATACCTCATTTTTTATAATATTTTAAAATAATAAATAAAACAATGTTAGACTTAACTGATTTATTATTTTTTCTTAAATAAACATTTAATAAAATCTCTGAGTTCATAAAACAACTGAAAACCTGCGCTTAGACACCAACAAGTAATTGTCCAGAATACACATCATTAGAAAAATAATAATTTAATTTTAATTTCTAAAAAGGATTCCATCACGTGACTTTGAAATAATTAAGATTAATTTTCTGTCAAGATCAATCTTATTACGTCCTATTTTCTGAAAATAATACAATATACATATCGTCACCTGAGAATTATAGTGTTCTATCTGCATTTTCTTTTTTTTATTCAGGTTAGTCTTGTTTTAAGTATTAAAGATGCATATTGTTCTATCTATATATAATTGGGGTAGAAATTGTATAGTTTAAGCCTTAAACTTTACAATTTCTACCCCAATTATATATAGATAGATCAATATCATCTTTAAGACTTAAAACAAGACTAACCTGAATAAAAAAAAGAAAATGTAGATAGAACACTATAATTCTCAGGTGACGATATGTCTGTGTTCTAAATAAAGACCTTTTATACACCAAATGTACATAGAGAAAAAATTAATTAACCCTATTTTGTTCCATCAAAGTCGCGTGGGGGACTGATGTGTGGAGCACATGTTAAAGTTTTAATAATATAATAAATGTATATTTTTGTATTCTACTTATTAACAATCGTTTTATTCCTATATTTACATTATTGTTAGATACAAATTTTAAATTAGAATGTCTTTTTGGTTTTTAAAGCATTGTATAAAATTAAAGTAATTAAAGGTATAAAATTATACACAAATCTAGTACAAATAATTTTTTACTCGTTTGTCCAATACCAAAATTAAAATTGACAAGTTAAAAATAACTAGTAATTTTATAATTTTACATAGGTACTACAGGGTAAATCTAAAAAATTGGGATACTCTGACCACCCCGTACAAAAACTACCTTTGTTCATATATTTCTTTAGAACAATTGCTATTGGACAGTTGACGATTTTAACATTTTCTCTATAAAATTATGGAAATAATTTTTTTTACAAGAATATAAATAGGTTATGTCACAATAGACAACATAACTTGTGTTTGTGTTTTTTCTTAAGTTCTATTGGTTGAGAAGCCAACACAGAATGAAGGGTTTGGACTGTAAGTTCTATGTCTTCTTTGGTTTCCGGATCTAAAACAAAGAAATTATCATTTAAAATTAATGTTTTTGTTAGTTAATTTTATTTACAAAAAAATGGTGTCGCGGTTTAACAACAATTATCACGGGTTCATTAAAATTAAGGAGACCCCCTGGTTCTATTAACGATATAATATGTAATAATTCCATAACTTTTTTTATCCCAAAAAATATTTTTGTTTGGTTTTTTACTTTATTCAGTAATAATAAGTTATTAATTAATTATATTTTAATAAAAATAAATGAATGTCTATATATATTTTTATTGCGTTTTTAGTTTGTCACTAAGCCCCGTTTTGCGGAAATTATAATAATAATAATACGTTTTTTTTTATTATAAATGTATTTTTTTTATCTTCAACTGTTAAATAAGAATTATTACACTTAAAAAGTGTTTTTTGGATGCGTTTTAGATTTTCCGTAAATCTATAAGTATATTCATAACTTTTTTGTGTACACTTTTATGAAGGTAATTTCTTAAGTATATAATATAAAAAATATAAAATCTTACTAAATTGGCGTAGAGACCCACCCTGTAAATTGTAATTATATGCCATATAAAAAACTAACCAATGTGTCTTTAAAATTGTATAACTTTTATTTAAGGTTTAATGTAGGTACTATTAAAATGTTCGTTATTTAATGGATAAAAAAATGACAATCATATTTAACAAAAAAAAATATTTTTAAGTTCGTTTAAAAATATGGGGTAAAAAATCTAAGCGTAATTTTTAGGCAAATTTACTGTTTTAAAAAAAATTCACTTTGAGAAGTAAATTAACTTTGACTTTTAATTTAAAAGCGAAATGTTAAACACCACAGGGGTTTCTTTAATTTGAATAACCATAGAGACTTACAAATGATTGTATGGCATTGAATTACAATATTTTTAAAGTCTCTTCTGTATAACGTCGAAACTTAATGTACTCTTTTATTATTTCATCCTTTCCAAGATTGCCATTTATTATTAAAACTGGCGCAGGACGGTGAACTGAAGTTTCGCATAACCATTTTTCGTGTAGTTCGTGTAGTTTTGTTAAATATTCAATGGATATTTCCTCTTCGCCATCCCTTTTTCTTGCCTTTATCCTGTCGAGAACAACATTGGGGGACGTTCGTAAATAAATGATTAATTCGCATTTTATGGATTTGGAATTCTCCTCAATTTTTTCGTTCAGATGTTGGTACTCTTTTTTTGTTAGCATATTATTTTGGTAATTATTTTCTATAAAACAATATCTAGCACTAAACAACGATCGTTCCATTAATTTTATTCTTTTATCAGTAATTTTGTTGTGTTGCTCCACCATGGTTTTAATAACGCATTTTTGAAATTTGTAGCAGTACTTTTTTGGATTTTTGTACATTAAATCGAGCAAATTTTTCCCCTTGTAATTTTGCCATACATCAACAGGTTCAGGGAATATTTCGCAATGTTCAAGTTTTTTTGTAATGGTTTCTAAAAACGTTGTTTTTCCACTGCCGATGTTTCCTTCGATAATGATGGTGTGAGTTGGTTTTGGTTTTAATGTTATTTCTAAAAATTATTTGTTTAAATACGTCCATAAGAAATTTAGAGAAATGTAAAAAGGGTATTTTTGTATAAAAAGGCATTCCGAAATTTGCTTCCAATGTTTTGAGTGCCTAGTCTTTTAGTTAACATTAAATTTCGGATTTCGTTTTCATACAAACAGACCCAAATACATTATTTTTATTACCTGTGAAGGCCTCGACAGGTTTATCGATGGTGTCGTGATCGATCCATGTCAGACCCATTTCGACTTTTTCGGCCAGGTCCTGCCAGTTCTGCCGGTTCTCGAGTGTCCCTTGATACAAGGGCTTCACCCATGGAAACGTGTCCGACAACACCCGGTACAGAGGCAAACAGATAACGTCGATGAAACCGACCTGCATCTGCGGCAGCTCGTCCTTACGTTCTCTGTCCATCATTGCCTGAAACAAACAAATAATAGTATACCGTCTAAAATTATGAAAGTGGAGCAGTTTTTGAGATATAGTCAATTTCATATTATATGGAAAATTGACTATATCTCAAAAACTTTTCTAGTTTTCCAACTTTTGACGACGTTTTCGGATTCAGGAGACAATTTTACATGAAAATTGACTGCTAAATGTTCGAGATACAAATTGCTATTGACGAGAATTATTAGTGGCTGCTTTTTCGATATGACAATTATTCATTTTTGACTAATTAATTTTTAAAAAGAAGATCGTTAATTTAATTAATTCAAGCTAGGAGGATTTTTTCCTAGAGTAGCCCTTTTTTTGCACGCCTATGGTCATCATTTATCCGATTTGACACCACCAGATGATTTCTTGCCCGAAAACTATCCCAGAAATAAAGTATCATTATTTTAACACTACAGGTTTTTGAAATAACTAATACAAACCAGTTTTTGCGAAACAGTTTAAAATGCCTTTAGCACCCGCTGGATGCATTTTTGGACATCAGCTGTTATTGCTGATGCACCCCACTCTGTCTACAAATTTCAGGAAAAAACTTATGCTAAACACAAAATTAAAATGTCTACCATAGGTACTCTATAAAAATTAAGTAGTCAAAAATGACTAGTTACTACAGTTATTAGTGGCTGCTTTTTCACCTATACAACATTTAACAGCCAATTCTTATGTAAAATTGTCCCCTGAATCCGAAAAATTATAAAAGTAGAGCAGTTTTTGAGATTTAGTCAATTTCATATTATATGGAAAATTAACTATATCTCAAAAACTGTCCTACTTTTCCAACTTTTGACGAAATTTTCAGATTTAGGGGACAATTTTACATGGAAATTGACTGCTAAATGTTCGGGATACAAATTGCTATTGACGAGAATTATTAGTGGCTGCTTTTTCGGTATGATAATTAGTCATTTTTGACTAATTCATTTTTAGAGAGTAGCATCGGTACCTTTGAAAAAAGAAATCATGAACATCAGAAGCGGGGTTCGAAAGAAAACCAACATTAAAATTGTTGCCAATTTCTGGTAGCGTTTTTTGCCGGCGAGTATGTCCTCACTGATTCATTGACACTCAGACCAAACCGCTGTGCCTAAAGGGCTGATATTTTGACATGGACAACCGCTAAAGAAGTATTTTTTTAAATTTAATCCCTAAGGGACAATCGAAAATTAAGTTATAATTCATCCTGGCGCATTCGCCATTTTTTAAAATTATTTAACGGGTTTTGATAAAATTAGGTATAAAGGACATTTAATTACTGTTTATTTTTGCCTTATTTATCGTTTAATTTTAATAGGTTCAAGATTTGTTACTTACAATTGGTTGCTCTTTGAGTTGCATTTTTTCCAAGTCGCCTTGGTCAAAGAACTCATCCGCCACCAACTTGGCAACCCTGTGCTGGACCTCCCAAGGTTTGGCGATGGCGCTGACGTCACACGCCGTCATCATCATCCCCGAAAGAACTGAAATAAAAAAATGCATTTAAACCTAACCCTGACATAAATTTTACAAGCTTAAGTTTATTTGAAATAAAAGGTGATTCGACCGGAATTGTAGAAGTGCCGGCAATCGAAAGAGGAAGAAAAATAAATGTTACTTACGTTCTTTTTTGTCGTCACTCTGCCAGTCAAACTCGCCGTTATCTATAAGCTCTAAAAATTTATTTCTTTTCTTAAAGTACATTGCTAAGTCAGTCGAGAGAATTGCTGTTTCCACCAATTTCATCACCTTTCTATAGTCTTCAGGTGACAGGGCCTGGAAACAATAAAAATGATTGTAAATTATATACAATATATTCTTCACAAATTTGTGAAAAATATATGTTTATTTATTAGTTATCCATCGAAATAATTTATTTTTAAACTCACATTTGAAATTACTTGAGAATTTATAGTTTCGATTATTCCTTATAAATAATGAAACAGTTTATCCCTGAATAATTAACCGACGGATAATCGTAATGCTTTTAACGGCCGTCATTCCGGTTGAATTGTTAAAATACCTCGGTAATCTTGCTACTTAGCATCGGGAAATTGAAATCCTTTATTGATTTGCAATTCTATTAGCATGCAAGGTAATAGGAAGGTTTGTTTTCTTGTAAGGTAAATCTCATTAATATACATTTAAATAACTAAATACACAAGTGAACACAGTAAAAATATAAAAATAAACTGCGCACCACTCAATGTGTCGCGAACAAAAAATTCGTCCTTTTTCAAAACTACATAACTTTTATAAAAAGAAATATTTTTTCTCGTTTTTACTTTGAAATAATGAAGTACTATATCTTACCTTGAAACGGTTTTCAAATTTTTCGAATTGGCAACGAAAATATTATTTTTTTTTTCAAAAGAGTAGATTTCATGCTCTTTAGTGGACAATACACTCAGTCTTTTTAAGAACAACAAGATAAGATGGTGAAAGATTGTTCCTTGAATAATTCTGAACAAGCGACAAGCAACAAATTTCCATTATTTTCAGCAACGACCACTTTTTCAAAATGACATTTTGGTGAAAATTTGCGAAAACTAAACCTAAACCGATATTTACGTTCGTGACATGTTTTCTTTATAATTTTGACCTCCTGATTGTGATTCAGTTGTCCAATTTAAGTTTCATTAAAACCAAAATCACCTGGAATCAAAATTCGAAAACAATTCCCTGCTGTTAAATGTCTTAATAAAATGCGATTGCTGGCGTGTTTCTTGCATATTTATGATTAAAATGCCATTTCAGTATTCATTTTTTGTGCCAAATTACTGCAATTTGGTTGGGATAATATTACAAAACTTACATTTACATTGCACACTAGTGATAACTTATCACTTTCCTAATTGTTAATAAAGTTAAATAAAAATATTTTGTTCATTTTTGAAAATTTTATGCGAAGTTATAATCATAATCAAAACTACAACATTCAACAGAAAAATGTAACAAACAATAACAATAATAACTTTCAATATTCTGCGAACGGTTGATTTGGAAATGGTAATTCCCGTATACGGGAATAGCTATAGCTATAGCTCATATACGGGAATAGCTATAGCTTCAGCAAAGTCTGGCATTGGCATTTTAATCATTTAAACTTAAAATGATTAAAATGCAAATGCCAGACTTTGCTGCAGCTACGGGAATTAACATCTTCAAATCAACGGTAAATTTTAAAGGAAGAATGGAAGTAACCTGGGTAAGATAGGGGTAGGTATACCTACCCCTATATATGTAGGACCTACATTGTAGGTAGGTAGGTATAACTTATGCAAAAAAACTTCGAAACTGATGAAAATACAAGAATATCATAATGCGTTTTAAATGTTTTTCAAGAACTAATTTTCATCATTTGATCCTCGATTTGATCATTCAGCGACGTGATAATAATATAAGATACAAAAAAAGTAAAAACCAGCAAATTTTATTAAGACATTTAACAGCCGGGAATTGTTTTCGAATCTTGATTCTTGGTGATTTTGGTTTTATCTTAAACTTAATTTTGACAACTGAATCACAATCAGGAGGTCAAAATGATGAAGAAAACATGTCACGAACGTAAATATCGGTTTGGGTTTAGTTTTCGCAAATTTTTACCAAAATGTTATTTTGAAAAAGTGGTCTTTGCTTAGGCCCTCTAAAAATAATGGAAGTTTGTTGCTTGTCGCTTGTTCAGAAATATTTAAGGAACAATCTTCCACAATCTTATCTTGTTCCTAAAAAGACTAAAAGTGGATTGCCTACAAAAAGCCTTACATGTACTCTTTTGAAAAAAAATCATATTTTCGTTGCTAAGATTCCAATTCGAAAAATTTGAAACACGTTTCAAGGTAAGACATAATACTTCATTTTTTCAAAGTAAAAACGAGAAAAAAATTATTTTTTTACAAACGGGGCTTGGATGAAGTTATTGAAATTTTTCACCGTTTAACATATCACCCTGTAGGAAATTTACTTAAAGAACCATGAGCTTCATATTTATAGCATGAATTGCCAGAGGATCAGGCTAGCAAACATCACAGACCAAAATAAAATTGTTCAAGAAACAAAAAAGTTATGTCGTTTTGAAAAAGAACCGAACTTTTTGGTCGCGACACATTGAGTATATACAATAATTTGCATTATTTAATTTAATATATGCATTATTTAATAAAATATTTATATACAGGGAGTTTCTGGTTTTAATCGATAACGCTCAAACGCAAAATAACAGAGACCGTCAAATATTTGACAATATTGGAAGAAACAATCGTTTTTTCTCATAACTTTTAAACCACTCTACTGATTTTGTTCAAATTTAACAGTGTACTAAAATTAAGTTTACTGAACAATATTGACGAGTTTTATTAAAATTTAGAAGGGGCGTAGAAAATTGGCGTGTCTCCCCTTTTTCTCCTCTATTTGTGACTGTTTTTTTTAATTAGTTATATTTTTTAATTCTACGTTTAATTTAGAAGAAAAAGAAACTTTTGGAAAATCTTGATTATAGTTAATTTTCAGTTAAAAATGAAATTGAGCTAATTAAAAATTAAGCAAATAAGTTTAATTGATTGTCTTTAACAAAATCATAACAAATGCTTGAAATGCATTCCACCAGAGTCCAGACATATCTGTCACCTGTCATCTGTCGCCTGTCAATTGTCATCTGTCATCAAAAGTTATGAGGTTTTTATGTTACAACTTTGACGGCCTATCGATCCTGTTTGAAGTTTGCCGATTAAAACCTGCACCACCTTGTATATATTTATATGTTTGTTATAAATTAAGTAATAAGTGTAATAAGTTGTACTATTAACTGTAATTTTACTACCTAACCTCTAATTCTTTTAATTTGTTGTAAAAATGGCGAATGCGCCGGGATTAAGCTCAACACGGTGCGGTAGTTTGACGATTTAAATCAACTTTAAATTAACTCATTTCTCTTTCTATACATAAATTCTATGTGATGTAAGGATGAGTTTGACCAAAAATTAAAAAAATATATCGAACACTTTTTCTTATTAAGCAAAAACCCCGTATGTTGGACCTTTACCTTACATGTGACTATTCACTAAATATTTAGTGATATTAAATTCATTTTTTTAATTTTATTTTATTCAGTATACGTTAAAACCTCGGTTAAAAGTAACTGCAAAATATTATTTATAACAAAAAATTTAAATTTAATAATAAAAAAACCGTATGTAACTAACTACTTCCTTGTAAATAAAGAAAATTGTATAATTGTACAAAGTTTTATTTTTAAATACGTAATATTTTATTTAATAGCCTAATAAAATATTTATTGAACATTATTTATGATAAGTTTATTAATTTTTCTGATAAAAGAAACCCGTATGTAGAGAAGTTCAATCCTAGACATGTTTTGTGTTAAAATGATAAAAATACAAGGCTCCATTTCAAAACGCAGTATCTAACATTTTTTCAGAACATGTTTTTTTTACATTTTTGCATATACTGTATTAAAACGCACCTTCCTAACAGGCCTATAAAACACGTTTTTCTCACAATTTTGTTTTTTACACATACTGGGCCGGTTTTTCAATCGTTGGTTAAGTTTATCTTACGGTTAATTTCCTTAGATACTATTGTTAACACAATAGTATCTAAGAATGTTAACCGTAAGATAAACTTAACCAACTATTGAAAAACCGGCCCACTGTGTTTTAGAATGAAGCAGCCGAAGGGATTATTAATTTAAATAAAAAATATCTGCATGAATAAAAGGATTTTATAGGCAGCAATGCAACATAGTAGGCTAAATGTCAAGTCAGAAAAAAAAAACAAAAGTATGGTTAACTATCATTTTGAGTTTCTTTAGTGCTAAGTGACTAAGTGACTTTTTGCTTTTAATAAAATACAGTTTCTTAAGGGCCCAACCACGGGATTTTTGTTTAATAAGAAAAAGTGCTCGATAGATTTTTTTAATTTGTGGTTAAAATCATCCTTACGTCATATAGAATCGATGTTTAAAAAGAGAAATGAGTTAATTTGAAGTTGATTTAAATCGGCAAACCACCGCACCGTGTCAAGTAATTTCAACTTAAAATTTGGTAAAAATAAAACATATCAAAATCAACCAATGATGGTTGCTTTTTTTACCTCTTTGTACTTAGAAAATTAAAAACAGGAATTCATTAATTTTTCAGTTTAGTCACTGTATTGGTGCGTTGGCCTATTTTGGATTTTTAGAGGTTTTCGTTAAACACTGTATCCTCTTGGTTTTTAAAAATATTTTGTAAAAACAAAAACCACTTAAAGAGCATAAAATGTTCAGTAATTATCTGTAAATAAAAAAAATGTAAATGTTGGCCTTAGATGAATCCCTTTTTAATGGGTATTAAAATATTGCTCGGGTTTCCATAAACATTCTTTAATTGTGTTGTATTAAATGGTTAAACTTTCATCACTGAGAGTTCATTAGATTTTTAGTTGGACATTTTTTAAAATAGCTTTAAAATAATATTTTTCTACTACCTTACTGGAAAACTTAATTTTCCACCGCGAGGGAGGAAAATGCCTCGTTTCCTCCCCGGGAGGAAAAAAAATTTCCTCCCCCTTTTTTTACAATTTTACATTAGCAAGAGTTTTTGTACCTTGTCTACACCTATTTGATTTTGTAGGAAAAAGATTTACTCCGCGCTTGTCCAACCATTCTTTAAACAAACTATATTCATTTTCATATCGCTCTTTCGATTTTTAAGGAAGGAAATTAATTGCAAGTATTCTTGCCTCTTCAGCAAGATCTTGCGGCAGGTCTTCTTCGC